GAGTGTTCACTGTCTCTCTTATATCCGTCGGGCCATGGTGGAGATATCGGCCTGACTGCGTGTGACACCACCATTGATAAATTAGACAAAAATCCCCGCCATAGGAGGGCCAACTTCCCAAGAATTAGGCGTGCATAATCTCCGCCCGAGCAGTTTTTACTGCACACATTTGGGTTAAGCACTCAACTTCAATTTGAATGTCCTTTGTCTCCGTGCCTGGTGGGTTCCTGGTTAAGTGCTCGGTGTATTCAAAGCCCCCCCCCCCCTCTCCCACTGCTCCATGGATACCGTCTGAACTAGGAACAAGGCACAAACGAAGCTCACACGGAATCAGTGATTTCTCAGGTTGTCTCCCGTCTTGCATAGGTTTTAAGAGATCTTGAACGTCGCATGAATTTGGCGCGATTTCCTCGTACCCGGATGACCCCCCAAGGACGGCAATCGGAGAGGGGAAGTAACCTCGAAGGGTTTTTGTCTACCACCGGAAGTCCCGAACAATCGGCATCTTTATTCCTGTCGCAGACCTTTGGTACAGCAGAAATAGCGGAGCCTGTCCAGTTTTTGTATTGGACTAAACCCTCTCTGATTGGACGCGATTGTTTAATGTTTATCAACGAGGAACACAAAGTTGAAAACCAAGCCGGCAAACAGCGGTCTGTCCTTAGGAAATGTTCGAGCGATATTTTGATATTTAGAAATTTTATTTATTTATTTATTTATTTATTTATGTAGCTGTAAAAGGTTTACGTCTTCTTCTTCTCAGTTTCCCAATAATTGGACGTTGCTTCTCGGACATTTTTGCAATAAAACACCCCGTCTCTAACTATAACTATAGCCTACTGCCTGCTCGCATTGATATGTTTCCAAGCCAGATTTCTGTGTTATATTCCCGTCCTCTGCTAGGTCTCCCCTTTTCTCTCTTGCCTTCTACCTTTTCCATACTTTCAGGTAATGTTTTATCCCCCCCCCCCCCCCGCCCTAAAAAAATCCACAAACTGAGACATAATTTAGGTCATCTTGAAGAAGAACGGGGGATGTCTCGAACCTGCCTGTTAGGGCCAGCCCAGGCTAAGAAGAATACAACGTCCCAGTAAACAAGCTGAGATACTAGATGAAAATGTCTTTACGCACTGATAATCGAAATCACGTCTTCTGAGTGCATAGCAAAGCGCCTAACTGCTACTCCGTTGACGCTGGTTGCATGACGTCTGTCGTCTCGAAAGAGGTAGAAAGAATAATAAACTCTTAATTCAATGCACAGGTTCACACAAACCAGCGAAATTATGGTAAATTCACGCTAATGCTATGTGCCCATTGGAAAGATTGAATCTGGTCGGGTCGGATGGGGTCGATTGAGAGCGGATTCAGTGCCAATTATGATTGACCCCTCCCCTGTTGCGTTAAATTTGTCAAGTATAGAAAACTCTGAACATCAAGCAGTGTTACTGAACACTAAATTTATCGTTCACAATTCAGCCATTTTCTTCTATAATCGTTTCAAGTACTGATAGCCGCATATCGCAGTGGATGGGTTGGAAAGTTCTTGGATCCTGCAGACATGGGAAATGTTGAAAGTTAAAAAAAAAAAATCTATTAGATAAGCCTCTCCAGGTCTATAATTATGTCCATTACTGCGCTCCGCTCGCAAAAAAGAAAAAAAGAATTAACTTGACCTTGTGAGCCGTAGCCTACAAGCCGTATGCTTGAGAGTACATATTGTTATCCAATTGTTCGACTCGTGACCTTGGAAAATAAGTAGATTGGTTTTTTTTTAGGTAAGAATTAAATTTGGTCGGATTCGGTCTAATCGTACCACGTTGGTAGTTTTTGCCCCTGCTTGGAGACAGATCTGGCTGGCCCCGACTCAGTTTGACTGAATTTGATTGGCAGTGTGCACTGGGTCTTATTCCTACTTACTTAACTTTTACTTTTATCCGCCGCGTATACCCTTTTGGGTGTCGCTGGAAGAAAGAGACGTCTCTCTTCCACCCGCCGGAGAGCTTGGGTCAGGGGGATGCCGTGAGGGGGGGGGGTATTATTCAAACGATTAAAACATGGTTTTGTACAAAGAGCTGCTCTGAACGAGGCCCAAACATGAGACCCGACAACTTGGCTAGTGTAATAAAGTACAATAACATTAAGATTTGTTATACGTTTCTTGTCTGGCTAGCCATTCCAACTCTATGTTTTCCTTAAAATCATGGGTCCTCAAACTGCAACTAAACTATCCACGTTTTTAAAGGAGTCTTGTGTACATATATAAACTATTTTCACCAGAAACTTTCATCAAGAATAAATTAGAATGTTTTCATGTTGTTTTTTTGCCTTTTAAATTTTAAAAAGGGTTAGGGTTGTTTGAGTGTTTGAAAAAAACTCTCGAAAAAGCTGTATCAAAAGCCTTAATATCTTATTAAAACTATGTTGTACTTTTTTTCAATTCTCCTGAGTCTTACAGCTGAAATAGTTTATCTATATGTCTGTTTGCTTCTTTCTTCATAGTGCAATTGAGCCTGCTCTAACGGTCACGTGGCTGTGAAATGAGCTGTACAGAAGACCACTTTCAACTCCCCTTCCTTTTTTTTCTTGTTTTTTCTGAAAACATGGTAATGACACTGACTAAGACGTCCAAACTCTTTGAGACAGCCACGTGTCTCCTCGTCACTGTATGACCATCATATTATACAATGCCG